CCCCGCCACCAGCACCACCACCACATGCCTGCCCAATGCTCAAGAATAAACCCAGGTGAGGAGTCCGAGAAACCTCAAGGAAGAAATAGGCTTTCACAAGGTCCAGGATTTCATACAAAAGAATTTATTCCTCTTCTTTCCTCTGCCTCAATCACACATCTGCGGTCTCTCTGCCAGGGGCTCTGCACAGTCTGTACTGGGCAACACAGGTCCAAGGCTCTGGTCTGTGGGAGGGGGCTAGCACCTGGAAATCCAACCCTACTTGCTCCATCCAGATATTTTCCATGCTTCATTGGACTACACTGCCATGGTTACAACAGGTATATCAATGTGCTCATGGGACAGCAGAAGAGATGGACGAGGGAGGGTAGGGAAAGGGCAGAGGCACAGAGACCTAGAATCAGAATGACAGGATCTCTCCTCTCTGTCTTCTCAACCAGAACTTATCTAGCCTCTGCTTAGAACCTTCCAGCAATGAAGAATCCACTACCCTCCCAGGCGTCCCATTCTACTTTTTGTGACATTGGGAGCTCTTTGCTTCCAGAAATCTGTCTCTTGACAACTCCCACCCATTACTGATCCAGATCTGCCCTTTGTAGCCACACATTCGCATGATAAACCTTAGGATACTTGAAATCAGCTATCCTGTCCTCCCTAGACCCTCCCCAGTTCCTTTCATTTGCTCCTCACATGGCATGACTTCCAATCTCCTCCACTTCCTGGTTACACTCCTCTGGCGGTATTCCAGTTTTCAACGTCCTCCCTAAAACTGGGTGCTCAGAGCTGAACACCAAATTTCAGATGTGTTCTGAGCAGGGTAGAGGACAACAGCACTTTCCTCACATTCTGAGCAGAGCCTTTCTTAATGGTTCCTTAGATAACCAGATATGTTGTTCTTGTTAATGACAGGACACTGGGCTTGCAGTCCACTAAACCTCCTACCCCAGGTCTTTTTCACACACAGTTTTGTCTATCCACTTGAATTGATGGGTGCAGAGAGTGAAAGGCTCTAGCCTGGGTTCCAGATACACCCTCTGGCCATGACTGGGATGGATAAAGGAGTAGGGACTCATCATCTCCAACCAGTCCCTTAATGTGTAGATTTGGAAACATAAGTGACCAAAGGGAGGAAGAGGAAGAGAAAGTTCATTTTCAAGGCTCCAACCTTGACTTGGAGTGTGGAAAGTCTCTCCACCGTCCTTCTAGGGAAGTAGTGAGAGAAAGAAGATAGTGAATACTGAATCATACAGAACCATCCCAGTTGTTACACTTAGGGACCTGAGGCAAGTCATTTCAGCTCTGGGTCTCAGTAAAATGGGAGTAATAATTCTTGTGTTATTATGCAAGCTCCCCCCTATGGTATGTTGTGAGGAAAGCATGGCGTAAACCTTAAGGTGCTCTATAAACATATAAAATATTGCAACATTATTTTTGATGAGATACTACAGATGTTGGTAGTGGGAATTCCTTCTTGGGAATAGATGGGATGAGATGACTTCTAATGACTGAGGTGTCTTCCAATGCTAAAATTCCAATTCTGTGGGGGGTCAGTGGTATGGCGACTCCTACCCCCTAGGTCCCAGGGGCACTCAGGCTCTCGTTGGCTGGCAGGCTCTTCTCTGCTCTAGCTAGGAAGGCAGGACAAAGTGAATAAAAGTACCAGAGGCTTAAAACATCAGTTCTATACTCTTTTGCCAGACCCTCCGGCTGACTGCCTCAATCCTTTCCCACATTTCTCCAAACCCAGGTGAAATCTGAAACTAGAACATAAGATGGGGGACCAACTATAGATTATGCATAGAACTGGAAGGTCCAGAGTCAAAACAACTTCTTCCTGTGTTTCTGTCAATGTCCTTCCTAAAACATGGCACCAAGCTGAACCCAGCAACTACAGCTGTAGCCCTATCAGGGTAGATGCTAAGATCATATTAGTTTTGGGAGGGCTACCATATCACCTTGTTGACTTATGTTGGGCTTGCAAACCACAGACTATCAGAGCTGGAAAGGACCTTCCAATAGCCCACCAAAATTGAGGGATGACAGAACCCAGACTTAGAGACCACCTATTCTAAACCCCTTTCATTTCACTGATGAGGAAAACCAAGGCCTAGAGACTGACCCTCATATTAAAAATGTACATTTCCCCCCCTTCCAAATGGAGACCAGCCTAGGAAGGGAGCAAGAGAGGGGAAGAACCTGGGTTCCTGTGGGGACTTGGCTCTCCCACACTCAGTAGAGTGAGTGCACAAGCCTAGTAAGAAAGGAGCCAATGCTGGGCCTGAAGAAGCAGAAGGGAAAACAGGCACCCCCTCCCCCACAACTCCCCACTATGGTCAAACAAAAAGCTTCTTAGGTCAAAGGTCCTAGAACTAGAAAGGAATTTAGGGACCATCTAGCCCAGAGGTTCTTAACCAGTGGGCCATGACCTTGTTTTATTTTAAAATATTTTGATAATATTTAAGTAGAATTGGTTTTCTTTGTAATCCTATGCATTTTATTTTATACACGTAAAAACATTATTAGGAGGAGTTCATAGGCTTCACCAGATTGCCTACAGGGTCCATGACACACAAAACATTAAAAACCCCTGATCTTTTTAGATAAGGAAACTGAGTCCCAGAGAGAAGGTACTTTCCCAAGGTCAAGGTAAGCGGCTGAGCCAAACCCAGGCTTTCTGACTCCAAATCCAGTGCTCTGTGCACACAGCCACCTCACTGCTCCTGCCACAGGAAATACCAGATCAGTTATCTGCTGGCTGTCTCAGCACCATAGACACCCCAACCCTGACCTGGGGCCAGAAACAGCAACTCTTCCATATGGTGGAATAGCATCCGGTGTCCAACGGGAAATGTGCAAGAGGGAAGAAAAGCTTCTGGCCCAGAGTTTCCTGACACATGAATATGCTTATTCAAAGAATGCCAGGTCAGCCCCTCCAGACTGGCATCCTTAACATCATTTTTCAAGGCACTCTGCCCAAGCTGCAGTGGCTGGCCAGGGCTTGCCTGGAGGCTCTTAAAGGGGAGCTCAGAGATCTCTGGGAACCTAGATGGTGACTGACCTTGGTCAGTCTGTGAATGAGAAACCACCTTCAGCCAATGCCCCTTCTCCTAGTGGGAAGGCCTTAGATCTAGCATCTCCGTAATCCCAGCAGTGACACTTCCCCCTTGCTTGTCCTCACCTTACCACCAATGCCTTAAGACAACTATAACTCTTGGAGGGTGGGGACCCTATCTTATTCATCTTCATATCTCCCTCAGCACTGAGCACAGTATTCGCCACACCAAGATGCTTAATTAATGTTTGATTTTGTACACAAGCATAGGATCTAAAGTTAGAAAGGTCCTCGGCATTAAATCCCACATAGACCAATTCCCTTCATTTAATAGATGAGACCCACTGCTCAGTGGTCTCCTGGCATCAGAATTTTTTGAAATTTATTCCAGCTCTGGGGAATATATATTCATCTTAAGGATGGAAAACCCAGTAAGCCAAGATTTGTAAGTAGGGGAATGAGTTGAGGGTCTCCTGGGTTTACAATCAAAAATCTGAGTTCTAATCCTAGCTCTTCTACTTCTCATTAGACATCGCAGTTACCCTTGGAGCCAACTTTCCCCATCCTTATAATGAAAGGAGTGGACCCAGGTAATTGCTAAGGCCTGGTCTAGGTCTTTAAACTTATGGTGTAGTCTGCTTCCCTGCCAATCCAGGCACCCTGAGAAGACCTGGCCCCTTGGCCTTCAATTCTGCATCTTAAGACAGTTCCCTCCCTAAACCCAAAACCTGTCCACGCCTCTGTTTTGGATAGCAGATTGAGTGTTAGCCCTTGTACTATGGAGGAAAACCATAGAATCTTAGACCTTCAGAACTGAAAGGGACCAATTCAATCAACCTAATCTAACCTAAGCAGGAATCCCTTCTATAGGTGGTCATCCAGAATATGTTAGAAGACCTTGATTGTCAGGGAACTCACTCCCCTAGGAGATGGCCCACCATGGAGCTGCACCAGGTAGAGGTAAGACAAACTCCCACCCTCTCCAAAAGAAATGCTTTAAGTTTGGGAAGACCAAGGCAGTTCTCCGAGTCAGGGAAGGTCCTGGATGGAAGGGGTTAGGTGGCATTGCCCAGAGGACCAGCTGCAGCAAAAGCATGAATCCCCCTCCCCATTCTAGCTACTACTGACCAGCCCTATTTCCAGTCTGTCCCCCTACTAGGGATAAAAAGCAGCCTTTTCAAGGCAGTTGGGGTAGAAACCACCAGGATGCCACGGCTGGGCATCATACACTAATAGACAGGAGTAGGGTCTGACCACGAGTGAATGGCCAAAGCAAGGAGGCTGAAGGGTGGAAAGTCTCCATGGACCTAGCATGCTAAGGGCCAGTTACAGCCCAGAAAAGGCTCCTGCTTTGAAGCCATTTCCCAAGAAAATGCAGTTGCTAGGCCAGTGATGGTTAAGGACCATGGATTTTCAGCTAGAAAGGACCTTAGACCCTCACCCTCATTTGAGATAAGGGATAGGAGGAGAGATTCACCAAATGGCACAGTTTAGCAGCAGATCTGATCTTCTGACACAAAATCTAGGAAGATTGCCCAGGAGGGAAATGATTTGGAAGAACACTCCTCTTCCATATTTCCACTGGGTCCCCAATATGTGCATGTCCCTCCAGCATGGGACAAATTCCTGGGGATGGGGCGGGGGATAGGAGGGAGAGAGAGAGCAGAGGGCAGTTATCACTGAGCCAAAAGCTATCCCTTCCCCTACTTCTCAGAGTAAGGACCGCATTTCCCAGGGGGAAGTTACTAATGGGAGAGCCCAAGTAGAGAAAAGCCCAGATGTGGCCATTGGAGTTCTATGTCACCTCTGAGCACACAACAGCAGATGGACGTGGTTTCTGCTCCCCCTTCCATCCCACCCAGGTCAAAATGCTTCTAAACAGATCTTCCCTTGCCCCACTCCCCATTTCTTCCCCAACACCCCACTCCAAACAATGCATGCAGCTGGGGAAGAGGGAGTTATCATATATTGATTACACAGTTTTTCTTAAAAAAAAAAAAAGACATTCCCCCCATCAATCAACAGAAAACTGGCTACCACATTTCCCAGGGTGAGTCTCCTTAAAACATTCCAACTCCCCCCCAGGTTTCCCCACATCTATACAGAATAAAGTGCTTTGTTTATTAATTATTATTAATAATATTGTTTATCACACTTAAGGGTCCCATGACCAGCCCTCCCCATGGCATGGAGTTGAATGGGCCCATGGCCACCAGCTGCAACAGCTCAAATCTGGCCTTACTAAGTGCTCTGTGTCTAGCTCCTCTATAGTCCCATTCCTTCCCCCCACCTCCCACCTCCCTGGGTGCCAGCCACAGTCCATCCTACTGATGTTGACTTTGGCTTTTGTTTTTCCTTGATGTAGATCAACCCCTCTGACCACTCAAGTCACATAGTACATAGGTCCTCATATCCCCAGAGGTGGAGGGGTCACCTTTGTCATTAGGGCCCAGCGTGGGGCAAGTTTACCCAGGTGGGCATTGCCTATTTGGGCTTGGGCAATATTGCTGCTCAAGCCCCCAGCGCCACTTCAGTTCCTATTTTCAGGCCCTGCCCTCCACAAGGCTGGCCCCAATTCCCAAGGGGGCTCCAGCAGGAGGTGGGGAGAAGAGGGTCCATTTTCTTCCGAGTCCTCAATCTTCCTGCTCCATTTTTGACATAGCCATGGGAACCAGGAGGTCCTGTCTCCCAGGGCCTGGCCTCAGTGGGGGAGGAGAGCAAAGGGAAGGGATTAAGGTGCAAAGAATCTTAAAAATTACCCAAAAAAAAGTTACAAAATGAAAAATAAAGGACCTTAATCAGGAAGAATTAGCTTATGCAACTGCCTCAGTTTAGGAACAGGATTAGGAGCAACTTTAACTGCAACAACCCACTGCTGGGCCTCCTACCTCATCTGTACTGGCTAAGGTCACACCTCTGACCAGGCTGAGGCAGGCTGCCTGGGATCACACTGCAGTCCCAATTTGCACAGAAGGCCCTGGGCCAGCCCGAGCCCCGCTGCAGCAGCCCGGAAGGGAGGGAAAGGATGGGGAAGTTGAGGCAGCCCACAGGATGCAAAGCCTCCACCTGCCCATGAGGACAGGGAGGGAGAGGAGAGGATAGGGGGGTGGGGAACCAGATTCAGGTTGCTCCTTTGTCATATGCAAGTTTTTTCCATACATATATGCATACACACATGCTCACACACATACCCTAATGAATACATTCACCCAAATGTTGTCCCTCCAACACACACACCCTGTATTTCCTTTTCAGATGGGGCAGGGAGTGGGAGAGCAGCAGGCTAGGAGAAGTCGATGATCCCTGCCAGCACCCACAACAGCCCCCCTAGCCAAGACCAAGCAGCTTTCACTGTCCTGCCCCGCAGCCCACCGACAGAAAGACCATGAGGCACCTAAGCTCGCTCTAGGGCACCAGTCCTGAGAGCCAGCTGGAGGGGACTGGAGAAATCCTACTGAGTGGGGTGGGGTGGGGGGTGCCCTGTGAACACCTTAGCCATCCATGGGGGGCAGACCCCCAACATGCCAGCCTCTTGGCTATTCCTTCCCCAAAAAATGTATTTGTAGCACCTAGAGACCCAGAAATAAAGGGCCCGGTATTTCCCTGCTCTTACTTCTGAAGGAATTCTGACTTTTCACTGACCAATCCTTCGTCCAAGTCATTTCTTCCAATGCAGGGGTGGTGGTGGTGGTGAGGGAGCACACAGAGGGAAGAGAAAGAAGAGCTTTGGCTCAGGTTTCTGGGATGCTGCCCATGAGGCCAAAACAAGAAGCAGCTAAGCCCTCCCTTGAACCACAGCCGAACCCCTCCCTCTTGCCATGGGCCCTGGCAGCATCCAACCTTTGGGGAGAATGACCAGTGACCCCTCAGGGGGCTTCTTTGGTTGACTGACCTCAGGATCCCCCCAGAGGACAGAGGACTTGGCATCCCTGCCCCAGGGTGCCATCCTCCTCCTTCTCCTCCTCCTTCTAAACTGTAAGGCACTTTGAGAACCAATTCCTCCCCAGCAAGTTGTGATTCCTCAGTTTGTGAAAGGACCTTTCCTCACCTGCCCTTCCCCCTACTCCTTGATCAGGCAAGAGCCTGAATGGTTTTGATGCCCCAAGCCTCGGAAAGTCCTGAGGGATGCCACCCCATCTTCCTAACCCCTCCTGGCCAAAAGCATCCCCCTCCCTGGCCCATGGGCTAGCACGGAACTCTGTGGCTAGAGGAGTTTGGCTCCCACTGCCCCATGCCTACTCTCCCCTATGAAAAAAGGAACACAGGTCCCAAGTCCCGTCTTATCAGCCACCAAAGGAGGGGGCCTAAAAACCACTCAGAGAGCTTCTATGAAGAAGGCAGCAGCCGGAAGACATAATTAAGCCACTGCCTTCTGCCAATGGCTGTTCTGAGGCTGATCCCCTGGGAGTGAAGGGAAGGGTACCATTCCCAACTTCCTTTCCCAAAGTATGACCAAACAGCTATTACTCAGTTTCCCTACCTGGCCCTGAAATCCCCATGGGCTTGGTCTCCTGTAACCTGGGCTCCCTCCCTGACCATACCTGTGTGCCCAGAAGGCAGGAGGAGACAGGGTGGGGAAGAAAAGGGAGAAACGGCATTTTGGCAAAATTGATGGGGCTTAGCCCACCCCCAATCAAAGTGAATCTAGTGCTTGTCCTGAGGTCTTTACCCCCCCAATACATATAGAGACACCAAAACACATACAGGTGGTCCCCCATTCACACATTTTCCTTCTTAGATACACACTCAAAGATAGTGGTACAGAAGACAGGCAAACCCACAGATGTATGGACTTGCACGTGTACATACGCATACACACACAACCCTGCACACAGACTGTACCTCACCCATACACACTCTCCTCGGACCCTCACACTGACACTAAATGCATCCTGGGGCAGGCACAGACACACAGACCCTCTCAGGCACACACTCTCAGACACACAAGAGACACAGACACATATACCCTACCTCTGAGACACACATGTGCACACAACACACTAGGACAGTGATCTCCACTCTCACCAGCCTCATCTCTCTGCATTGGCCCCCTCACCCACAGGGACACATGGGGACTCTCAGAGTGCCCACGGCCTTCCACTTGGGCCGCTCATCTTGGGGTGGCAAATGACCCACCCCGATCTTGCCTAAATCCTAACCTGCTTCCCCCAGGGTCCTCAGAGCCTAGCTTAGAAAACTGGCATCAGCTGACCACCACCACACACTAACGGTCTCTGCCTAACCCCTTACAACTCTACTCTCTCATTTTACAAATGACTAAACTGAGACCCAGAGAAGGAGTGATTCGCCCAAGGCAAGTAAGACTCATAGTCTAGATATGAATCTAGCTCCTTGACTCTTAATCCAGGCCTCTTTCCACTATACCATTCTACCCTCCCAAGCCCTGTTCCTTTCCCTCTCACCAAAGCAATGGGGAACCCCCCCAAAACTTAGTGGCACCACCTCCTGGCCCCCATTTAGGGCCTCAGCCTATACCCCATTCATCCCCAACACAACCATGATGAGACCATATGCAAAATGGAACTGAGTGGCCATGGAACAGGAAGGAGGTGGGAGGGGCAGGGGAGAGCACAGGACTTCAGAACCGGAAGGGATCTTATCTAACATCTAGTCCAACTTCCTCCTAGTACAGATGAGGAAACTGAGGTTCAGAGAAGACCAGCAGCCTGCCCAAAGTCACATGGGTTAGTGGCAGAGTGAGAATCCTTGGAAATCACATCAATCCCTCCTTCCACTCTACTGAGGAAGAAGAGAGGGGAGAAAAGAGAGGAACACACACATGGGCTCCATTTTCCAGAGTCAATCCATGGCGTCCTTTCAGAGGTGCAGCTGGGACAAACTTGGCATAGACGAGAGGCAATGAGAGGGCTCTGGGGTAGAGCAGCAGGGCCAGGGTGAGAAGAGAGAGGGGTCCTAGTTGTGGCTGGCATTGACCTTCCCCGTAGAGAACAGAGGGGGTGGGGGAGGTAAGTGAGGTGGGGGGTGGCAGGGTCTGGGAGAGCGGGGGGAGCAGAGGGAGGGAGTGTGAGGGGGGCGGTGGCGGCGGTGGGGGCTGCGGGGGAGGAAGGCCAGGCTGGGTAGGGGTGGAAGGGGCGGCTCCTGGGGGCACTGGAGTCAGGGCCAGGGTCAGACCCGGGGGGTGGTCACCACCATCAGGAGTGTCCGAGGTCATTGGGTGACTGACGCGGAAGCACTTCTCCTTGTGGGCTTTTAGCATGTTGGAGAAGCGGAAGCGCTGGCCACACACGTCGCAGGGGTAGGGCTTCTCGCCTGTGTGTGTCCGCCGGTGCCTCTTCATGTTGGGCCGGCTCGTGAAGCTCTTGCCACAGATCTCACAGATATACGGCTTCTCGCCTGTGGACAGGGGAAGGGGGGGAGGACTGGTCATCCAGGGCCCTGGCTGCTGACGCACTCCCCGGCCTCCAGCCGTGGTCACTCACCACCAGATGCTCAAAGCCCAACCCAGTCTTTCACTCCCAGCAGAGGGCTTTCCTTCCCTCTATCCCCTCATCAAATTCCCACACACCAGATCTCTCCCTCCATTCCTCATGAACACCCAACAGAGAGCCAAGGACTCAGTAAAAGCTCGGAATCCTTCTCCTCACTCTGACCCATATGACATGGGTCAAGGACCAGCAGGGTGGTTTAGATGGAAAAAGCCATAAACTAGAGTCAGAAGGTCTGAGTTCAAGTCTCTGCCACGAACCCACTGAGTGACTGGGCAGACCACTTGCCCTGCTAGCCTCAACGAGCCTTTGTGGTACTTTGTCTTATAGAAACACTTAGAACTGGAAGGCCAGAGTTCTGAGCCAGGCTCTGACACCTGCTAGCTGTGTGACTTTGGGCGAGTCACTTCCTCCTCTGTAAAGTGGGGGTGGTCCTTCCTTACATTCTCTACCTAATGGGACTTTTTTGAGAAAAGCTCTTTGTTTACAGATACAGAAAAGGGAGCCGTTGTTGATTATAGACTTAAGAGTAGGTAGGGATCTCAAAGGCCATCTACTACAAACCTTCCATTTAACAGATGAGGAAACTGAGGCCAGAGAGGTCTTACCCAAGGTTATATATAGAGTAAGTGACAAATTCAAATCCTTCTGCTCCAAAGCCAGTGGTCTTTTATTGTATTATATTATCTGTTCTCGTGAAGGAGTAGGTCTCTTTTGCTAAGACAAGGAACACCTGGCTCAGCTTTGGTTAGATCTGAATGTAATTTCACGCATTTCACCTACTTACTTATGAGTCTATTAAAATATTCCAGCTGACTTAATTCCAATGTGGCAATCAGAAGAATATTTCAAGTTACCAAAGGAGGTTATAAAGCCTATTCTTTCAAATTAAGACCTCAGCTCATTAATTTCCCCTTTCAGCAAATATTTAATATTGCTGAGAGTGAGAGTGAATGCCTGTAATCCCTCATATTGGTGAATTGCTTGCTTAAGCTCAGGAGTTCTGAGCCTCACTAGGACTAAGGCTGATAGGGTGTCCTGGATTCAAACCCAGGTCCTCAGATTCAAAATTCATGCTTTCTTCCATACTGTGCTGAATAGTTCTCCTCTCTCCTCCCACTCTCTGAAAGGATCCCCACCTCCAGGGACCCTGGAATCACAAGATATCAGAGCTGGAAGGGACCCTACAGATCAATGGGCCCAAAACTTTCATGTTACAGATAAGATAACTGAGGCTTAGAAAGAGGATGCAGCTTGCTCTGGGTCACACAGTAGTAAGTCACTGGAAGAGTCAAAACTCAAACTCAGGTCTTCAGATTCCATGTTCAGTGATCTTTGCTTAGAGTGGCAAGGGAAAGAAAAACGGGGAGAGAGGGGGAAAGGGACAAAGAGGGAAAGGGAAAGGGAGAGAGAGAAGGGGGGAGAGAAAGAGAGACAGACAAAGGAGAGAGGGAGAGAGACAGAAAAAGAGGGAGAGGGAGAGAGACAGGGAGAGAAGGAAAGAGAGACAGAGAAGGGGAGAGAGAGACAGAGAGAAGGATGGAGAGACAGAAAGAAAGAGGGAGAGAGAGAGAGAAGAGAGACAGAAAGAAAGAGGGAGAGAGAGAGAGAAGAGAGACAGAGGAAGGGGGAGAGGGAGAGAGAGAGAGAAGGAAAGAGATACAGAGAAGAGGAGAGAGAGGAGAGAGAGAGAAGGAGGGAGAGAGAGGGAAAGGGACAGCAGGAAGGGGAGAGAGAGGGAAGGCAGAGAGACAGAAGGGGGGGAGAGGAGAGAGAGAGAGAGAGAGAGACAGACAGACACACACACACACACACACACACACAGGAAGGGGGAGAAGAGAGAAGGAGGGCAGCAGGGGTCTTCGAGGGCTCTTACCTGTGTGTGTTTTCATGTGTTCATCGAAGTACTGCTTCATGTTGAAGTCCTTGCCGCACCACTGGCACATGAACTGCTTGTGACCAATGTGAATGCTCATGTGGGAGCGAAGCTGGTACTTGTACTGGAAGCGCTCATTGCAGTTCTGTCAGGGAAGGGGAGGACAAGAGAAATGGGTGTGAGGGCTCTGGTGCACCATCTTCAGCCCCCAAGCTTTTAGAAGTCCAGGCATGTTTGCAGATGGTTCTGGGCTAGGCTGTCATTAAAGAGAGAGGCTGGGGGTGGAGGGCAGGGCAGAGGGAGAAGAGGAGGGAAGGGATCTAGCACACTCCCTCTGGGAGTCTAGAAATTCAATTTAAGACTCAATTGTTGAATTCAATTAAATGCTAAGTATGTGGAAGGCCCTAAGGATACAAAGGGCAATAGTCTGGCCTCCAAGAAATACACATTCCCGATGGTACAAGGAATCGACAGATAAGTAAATGCAAGATAACTTGAGCACAGAGAACACGAACTGGGGAGAAGCAATATGTAACAGGGAAGGCTTTCTGTAGGAGGTGACCCGTGAGCTAAGCCTTGAAGAGAGCTAAGTAAACTAAAAACCACAGGAGACTCAGTACATTGCAGAGCTGAAGGACAGCCAGCCAGAGACCAGAGATGGAACATACAGGCCATTCTGACTGGGAAACAGAGTATTAAAAGGGGAGGGTGGTCGTGGGCCTGGAGCCAGATCATGGAAGGGCTTTAAAAGCCAACGTGAGGAGTCTCTATTTGATCTCCAAGAAAGAAAGGACTTCTGATGACATCAAGGTTAACCTGTGCCTGAGCAGTAACCGCCCCCTACATCTTGGACCAGTGCTCATCCAGCTCAAAGACTCCTAATGAAGGACAATGAACCTTTCCTCTCCAGGCAGCTCATTCCACTTTGGGGGCAGTCTGTCCTAATATTGTGCCGAAATCTGCCTCCCTGAAAACTCTGCCCGTTATTCTCAGATCTGCCCGCTGAGGCCAAGCAGGACAAATCTAATTCTCCTGCCCTGCAATATCTGTAAACATCTATCATGTTAGTAGCTACATGGCACAGTAAATACAGCACCAGGCCGGAAGTCAGGAAGACAGGAAATCAAATCCAGCCTCAGACGCTCATTAGCCAAGTGACCCTGAGCAAGTCACTTAACTTCTGTTTGCCTCACTCTCCTCATCCGTAAAATGGGGGAAATAATCGCACCTAACTTCCAAGATTGTTATGAGGATCAAATGAGATAATTGTGAAGTTCTTGGCACACAGTAAGTGCTATATAAATGTCAGCTATCATTAAATTATTATTATCTCTCCTCCCTGATTCCTCACCAACTGTTTCTATTCTCCAGGCTTCGGTTCAATTCAATAAACATTTATTAAATACCTATTTTTCTGTCAGGCACCCTGGTAGGCAGTGAAAATACAATATCAAAAATAAACAGGAGTTTACATTTGGGTTTCTTCAACTCGTTAGTGTGTTAGTAAATGTTTAACAACCAGCTCTCCAGGAGGAAAATGGAGGCATGACATACTATTAAGTTTAATCTGTATTATTAACATTTTCCCCATTACTTTATAAAGTCTAAACAATCAACAGCATATTGAATCAAGCCCCATTAGTCTGCCCATTCCCAAAGTGTAAACATTCCCACTGAAAATTTAACAACTGGCTCTCAAGCTGGTTTGAGCTGGCACCAAGACAGTCCTGCTTCAGTCATGGTCTCCAGCGTCCTCCCCATCCTCACTGCCCTCCAGACTCATTCTAGTTTGTCAGCCTAAGGTGCTCTGAACACGGTCAAGGTCAGCAGAAGTACCGCGGACTTAGATCTGGGAAGGGTCCTCTGAGGCCTTCTAGTCTAACCCCTTTATTTTACACACGAGGCAACTGAGGCCCGGGGAGGGGAAGTGACTTGTCCAAGGTCACAAAGATTAAAGTAAGCACCAGAGAGGCAAGATAGGAGCCAGGTCCTGATTCCAAAGCCAGTGTTCTTTCCTCTGCATCACCTCCTTCTAGAGGCTCAGCCTCTATTCACTATGTTAACTTTATTTGGCTGCCATGTTACAGGACTGATTCATCCTGCACTGGTAGTCCACTAAAACCCCCTGCTCTTTTTCACAAGAATGGTTATTTAGAGCAACTGACCCTGGAGTCAAGAGGACCTGAGTTCAAATCTGGATTCAGATACTTAGTAGCTATATGACCCTGGGCAAGTCACTTAAGCCCAACTGCCTCCCCAAACTAGAGAGATAAAAGAATGGTTATTTAGCCATAACAACTCCATCCTCTATTCCTTGTGTTTGTTAGTTTTAGTCCCCAAGTTCTATACTCAATCCTCTTAAATTTCACCTTCTAGATAGAGTCTACCGGCTCTAGTCCATCAAAATCTTTCCAAAGCTTTTGCTGGTTTGATTACAGGTTCCACTTTTATCATAGACCTTTCGCTTTCACTGACCAATGACCACAAATCCAGGCAGGCGTCCTTATCTAGGCAAACCAACAAATAACTTTAAGAAAAGGCTCAGTGGGGATGCGGTTTATAAACCGGCTATTTGTTTTCCCCTCTCTGGAGACCGAATGGAACCTTGATATGGATCTGAACGGTTAACATACAATATTCTTAGAGATAAATGTATTCTGGGCTGAAGAACCTAAGAGGTAAGAGGCTACGGAGAGAAATGGGGAGACCAGGCTCTGTGTGTGCGTATACGTGTCACACATACATACACCTATACCTGTACCCATACCTATACCTATACCTATACATATACATATACATATGTACGTGTGTATATCTCTGGCCTCTTCTGGTTGGTAGATTCCCATGAAACACTGAGCCCCCTCCTCTTCTCTGCTTCTGCGAATGGTACCCATCTCCAAGCCTGGCTCCAGCTATACCCCCTCCCTCCAGGAAGCCTTCTCTCATTACTCCTGCCCACACTGATCTCTCCTCTGTCCTATGAAAGGAAAAAAGCATTTATTAAGTGCCTACTGCATGCCAAAGGCACTGTGCCCGAGATTACACAACTACAACTGGTCAGCATTTGAAGTAGTATTTGAATTCAGGTCTTCTTCAGCCCAGGCCCAGCACTTTGTCCAACATACCACTTCCCGCAGCATGATGGTAAGGACACTAGACTTGGAAATCAGGAGACAGGTTTAAGTCCTCTATTCACGTGCCCTAAGCCTTTTCTCTTATATAAATGACAATATTGGACCAGATTACCTCTAAGGTCCCTTCCCTGTTTTAGGATTTCAAGTCTGAAAACAGTCCAGAACATAAACTAATTCATAAGGAGAAGGATAGTAGAAGCTTAAAAGCAATATTGCTTCATAAAATCAGAAACAACAGAAAGAAAAACATGTCAACAGAAAGTCTGGCACAAGACCTAATTAAACCAGCTTATTTCTAGAGTGTTTAAGGATAAAGATGGAAGAAAGACAAATAAATAAAAAAGAAAAAGATCTAAGATTTTTATAACAAACTACTTTTCCTAATGATGACAGTAGAAACATCACGTTTGAATGCTAACATCACAGTTCCTGAGGTGCTCTGAATGAGAAAATGAAATAATATTTAAGGATTATTAAGAAAACAAAGAGGGAAGAAGCAGATGGACCTTACCAAACTTCCCAGAAAGGTTCATGGTGGAGGTGACACAATGCTAAGGATGCTGATGGGTCACATAAGGTGAGGAGGGGAAGGCCTTACATAAACACTTTTTACCTGCTGCAGGCCCACAGGTATAGTTCCAGGACTCCTTCTTCCTCCTCCCCAGGGTAGAAGAGGTTCCCTTGATTTTCCAAAGGGGAATGAGCTCTGGTGACTTCTCAGTGACATGGTCAGACAGAAAAGAAGGACTTGGGGCTGGGAACAGGGCAGGCATAAGAACTGGTGGCGGACAGTGTTTCTGATAAAGGCCTCATTTCTCAAATATATAGAGAACTGAGTCAAATTGATAAGAATACAATTCATTCCCTAATTGATAACTGGTCAAAGGATATGAACAGGCAGTTTTCAGATAAAGAAATTAAAGCTCCTCTAGTCTATAGGGCTACCTATAGTCACATAAAAAATGATCTAAATCACTACTTATTAGAGAAATGCATATTAAAACAATTCTGAGGTACCACTTCACACCTATCAGATTGGCTAATATGACAGAAAAGGAAAATGATAAATGTTGGAGAAGTTGTGGGAAAAGTGGAACACTAATGCATTGTTGGTGGAGTTTACCCACATGTAAAAAATATTTACAGCAGTTCTTTTTGTGATAGCAAAGAATTGGAAATTGAGGCAATGCCCATTAATTGGGAAATGGCTGAACAAGCTGTGGTACATGAATGTAATGGAATACTATTGTGCTATAAGAAATAAGGAACAGGCAGATTTCAGAAAAACTTGGAAAGATTTGTACAAACTGATGCAAAGTGAAATGAAAAAAACCAGGAAAACATTGTATACAGTATCAGCAACATTGTGTGATGATCAACTATGATACACTAGCTCTTCTCAGAAACACAATGATCCGAGACAATTCCAAAAGATTTGTGATGGAAACTGCTATTTACATCCAGAGAAATAATTATGGAGTTTGAATGCAGATTGAAGCATACTATTTTCACTTTTTTTTGCTTTTTCTTTCTTGTGGTTTTTCCCTTTTGTTCTGATTCTTCTTTCACAACGTGACTAATGTGGACATATGACTGTACATGTATAACCTATAATATCAGATTGCTTGCTGTCTTGGGGAGGGGAGAGGAAGGAGGGAAAGACGGGAAGGAAAAAATTTGGAACTCAAAATCATACTAAAATAAATGTTGAAAATTATCTTTACATGTAATTGGAAAAAAATAAAATAAAATGTTATTAAGTCCAAGGGAAAAAAAACAAAAAAAGAAGTGGTGACTGAGTCCCCTACCACATTCTGGCCAAGGAGGAGAGATCATCCCTTAACTTGTAGGTGGGGTCCCTTGGGCCCTAGAAAGGCGCTTACCTCACATTTAAAAGGCTTCTCCCCAGAGTGCTGCAGGGAATGGACTTTGAGTGACATGCTCCTCTTGAAAGACTTGCCACAGGTCTCACAGGTGAAGGGCATGTCCTTGGTGTGAGCTGAGAGGTGGGGACAGGGGGTGACAGCTGTTAGAATATCTGCTCTCCTACCTGCTTTGGGGCTAGGGGTAAGGCTAGGGATTGGGCAGGCCAAGATCATCTGCATTTATGGACAAGTTGGCTTCCTTTCTCTGAGCCTCTGTTTCCTCATCAATAAAATAATCCTTGCACAACCCATCTCATGGGGAAAGAACTTAATAAATCTTGAAGCGCTACAAAAAGAGAGCCTGTTACTGTTACTATCCCAAGTGTAATTCACTGCCCCAAAGCGTTCCTAGCTCTGGAACCTCCTCAGAGCCACAGGCCAAGGAGAGAGGAAGGAGACACAGGGCTGGTTTGAATCTTGGTGGACAGTACAGCAGACCCCTCCTGAGAGCCTTCTTGGCTCCCTGGTCTTCAAGACCCCTACGAAGCTCACCAAAAAGCTAAGAGAAGAACTTCACCCATTGTTAGCGCCTAGAAAGGAGGGCTCAGAGTGAGTAGCAGTTCTGTCACCCTAAAGGTCCCTGATAATTCCTTCCCTGGGAGAGTTGAGGAGAGGGAAGAGGGGCCACGGAAGGGAGGGATTGGGAAGAAGAGCCATTGGAACCAGATTACCCAGTGAGATTTTCAAGGTCCCATGGGAGGAGATTGGCCCAGCTGACCTCCTGGTCATGAGACCATTGAACCTTTAACCTCCCTTTCTCCAAGCTGTCCCTAAACCTCTAACTCAATGTGTGATCTTAGATGAGTTATTTTCCTTCTCTGGGCCTCAGTTTCCCCAACTATAAATGTCGGGGACTGAACCAAATGATCTCTAAGGTTCCTGCAAGCGCCAATAGTCTATCATCAACCCATCTGTTCTCTGCCTCCGTTGTTAAGACATCAGACCATCCTTGACCACCCCCAGGGTCATCCTTGATCCCCACCAGCTCTTGTGGGAATCAAATGAGTTAAGGTGGGAAAGTCCTGAGGAAATATAAAAGTAATATATCATAGGACCCTAGGGTAATAGATTGAGAACTAGAAGGGAACAGGAGGGATTTATTAGAATCTCCTTTTGTTAGATAAATCTTCCAGGGTAGGAAACTAAGAGGGGCCTGAGACCTGCCTCCTACTCAATGGAGGAATGCCCTCTGAACCCCTCATCCTCTCAGTAACGGGGAGCTCCCTACTCAAAACACCTGGTGTGGTAGAATGAACCCTGGCCTTCGAGTCAGGGCACCTGGGATTGAATCCCAGCTGTGTCGCTCGGCAACCTGGGTGACCCTGGGCGATCTGAGCCTTAATTTCCTCATCTGTAAAACAGAGCTGGGTGGACTAGATGCATCCTAAGATGCCTTCTAGCCCTAAATCCTACAGCCTCCAGAGACAGCCAGGATCAATGGTAGACAGCTCTGGCTGGTAAGGGGTTCTTATACCTAACTCAAAGCTGCCTATTTGCCCTGTGATAATGTAACTCTCCCCTGCACTGGTTCTGCTGCTGCTTCCAGGGACCACACAGAAAAACTCAGACTCCCTCTTCCACGGGAAGATGTCTGAAGATAGTCACTTAGTGTGCGTGCTGTGCCCCCCCCACCTCTGCCCCCCCCAAATGTCATCATCTCTTCTCTAGGCTATCAGCATGTGGAGCTCCAAAATTCTCTAAGAAACACGCATTTATGTATCATGCAATGGTTCTCAAAGCGAGGGTCCCCAAGACCCTTTTACAGGATCCTCAAGGTCTATTTTCATAATAATGCTAAAATGCTTTAATTTCTAATGTGGTAAATATTGATAGCTAACGCCCACATAAACAAAAGCTCTTTGGAGCCTCAGTAGTTTTTAAGAGTATAAAGGGAACAAAAAGTTTGAGAACCACGGGTCTATGTCATTGTTAAGGCCACAGGAGATCACATAATGTAAACCTGGACCAAGTAACTTGTTTTACAAATGAGGAAATTGAGGCCCAGAGAAGTGACGTGACTTTTGCCTAAAGTCACATGGTTAGGCAGCAGAGTGGGGATCTGAACCCAGAATAACTTCAAAGCCAGTGCTCTAACCACCACACCACACTGCCTCTAATTCTTTCCAATTTGAAGACATTATGATTCATTTTATTAGTTACTATTAACAAAGTGGGAGGAGCAGGAGACAGACTCACCTGCTACTGACATCCTAAAAATTCCTTGTCACGGCACAACAATCCTCACCCCCCCACTGGGGAGGGGGGGCAGGAAAGGAATGTCTCTGGGGACAGGGCAAGGAACAGCTCCGTGGATTAAAGATTGGAAGGCAGAAAGATCTCAGAGGCTACTTATTTAGACAGATTAAGACCTAGGGTCCAGAGATGATACATGATGCCTATGGTCACAAAAGTGGTCCTTAAACAAAGGCAGAATTTGAATCCAAGTCTTCCACCTCCAAATTCTGCCCTCTTTCCACTGTACCATGCTGTCTTCCTTCCAAAGGACCTGCACAGATCATCTGTCCAAACTCTTCATTTTATAGAGGGGAACAGGGAAGCTCAGAGAGAGGGATGAGCCTTGTCTGGGGGACCCCAGTTAGTTATGAGCAGAACTGGGGTTCCCACCCCAGCCTCTTTCAGGGATCTTTCCTGAGCTCTGACTTCTAGGCCCCTCCCAGACCCTTTCCCCCCACCCCATGGAATTCTTCCCCATCACCTGGGACTCACCAACCATGTGCTTCCGCACGTGTGCCATGGTATAGAACTTCTTCTCACAGATCTCGCAGGAAAACTTCTTCTCTGCGTAGCCATGGACAATCTTGTTGTGCTCGTGGAGGGACCAAAGCTTCTTAAAGGCTTTGCCGCACGTGACACACTGGCCGAGGGGAGGGGGAGGGAGAACTTTAGTGAGAGGCCCCGACTGGCCGGGAGGGCGGGCAGAGGGGCAGCGAGATTAGCGGGAAAGGCCCTTAGCAGTGTTAGAGGAGCATAAAAGCCCACCTGCCAGAGAGACAGAGAGAGGGAGAGAGAGACACACACACACACACACACGGACAGACAGACACACACACACACAGAAGCACACACACCCATAGTTCCTAGGAACACCCTTCCATTTCCCAAACTAAAACCTGTCTGTTTCATCCATGGGAATTTAATTCACCAAAGATCATCACCCTCCCCAACCCAGGAGGTCCATCTGGGCTTTATCCTGTTTTTCCTGAGCACCTCTCGTGTGTGTGTGTGTGTGTGTGTGTGTGTGTGTGTGTGTGTGTGTGTGTGTCTGTGTCTGTGTGTGTCTGTGTCTGTGTGTGTCTGTGTCTGTGTATGTGTGTACATGCCCTAGCCTTGTGTTTTCTTAACCTGAGGTCCATGGCTCCCCTAGCAATCTGTGGATAGATTTAGAGGAAAGGGTTTGTGAGCTTGGATGAAACAAATTACATTTTTATTTCCAAAGAACTGTTTTCCTTTGTAATACTATGTATTTTATTTTATACATTTAAAAGCAATATTCTGAGAAGGGGTCTATAGGCTTTAACAGACTGCCCAAGGCGTCCATAACACAAAAGGGTTTAAAAGTTCCTGTCTTAGACCCTGGAATTGCCAAGCCAGAGGGCTGTGGGTGTAGACCGAGCCAGCCAGCTAGCTCTTAGCGATCAAACTCCACAGCCCCTTCCCAGCGTTGGCCTGAGCCCTGCTCCCAGAGAAACAAGGCCAACCCATCTAACTCTTATCATTGGGTCAGCAGCCCCACCGGCCAAGGCACAGCATCCACTACACACTGCATTCTATCTGCGCCCCTCCAGTCGCGGCTTCCCTGGGTGCCTCAGTTTCCCCCCTTAATAACAGGAGGGAGAAGCCGGTCTGCCTCTTGCCTGGGAAGCACAGAACTAGAAACCCCACGGCTACTCTGAAGAGTCTGGACATCTCAGGGCCAGGAGGGTCACCCCTCTGAATGGCAAGGGCCTGTCAGTTGTCCCCAGCCCAGGGCCTCTACAGTCTGCTCCAACCCACCTTCCCCCTGCCCCTCTTCCCCAGCCAGCCTGCTCTCCCAGACATCCCAGGCAGACAGAAAGAGCATTCCTACCTTTGTGTCTTTGCTTACTCAGCCCCCTGTGTTTGCCCCATTTCCCCAGCTGCTAATGCCTAGAGAGAACCTTCATCTAATCTGTACATATCTTATAAGCACCTATTTATTTACATGCCTTTCCTGTTAGAGAGTGAGCTCCTTGAGGGCAGGGGACCATGGTTTTGCCTTTCTTTGTATCCCCACACTTAGCACAGAGCCCAACACATAATTAGCATCGAATAAATGCTTAGGGATTGACTGGTTTTGACTGGCCATACCTTCTCCTCTCCCTTACTACTTGGCCACCTCCTAAAGGAAGCCTATCCTGACCACCCCAGCTCACTCTGGTCTCAAGTTTTTCACATGCATGAATCTTGTCTCTCCCACCAGACCAGGATCTCCCTGAGGACACAGAGGAGGACTCTTCCTCTTCTACAGTGTATAGGAAGCTAGAGTATGGAACACAGAGGGTCAGAGTTGGGAGAGAACTCCGAATTGAATTCAATTCTAATCAATAAAACAATAAGCATGTTACATGCAACTGCGCCACACAGCAGGGATACAAAATTTGTAAAAGCCTCTGTCCTCAAGGAGCTTACATTCTACTGGAGTGAGACCATGTACACACAGGAGCATAATATGAGGTGGGGACTTGGAGTGGAGGGGAGGGACAAGCATTTATGAAGCACCTACTATGTGCCAGACACTGCACTCAGTGCTTTACAAACATTGTCTCATTTGAATGGGGGCAAAAGAAAAAATCAGGCCAAGAGGAGAGACTCTGGGTGGGCTTCCTGGAAGAGGCAGCACCACAGCTGGGCCTTGAAGGAATCTGAAAGGAATTAAGCTCACATGTGAATGCAGAGACTGGGAAGGTGGCTGATCAAGTCTGGCTGGAAGGTTGGGAATGGGAAGGAGAGCAATGCAAGCAAAGCAGGTTACAAGCCGACGGTGAGGGGCCTTGACTGTGCAGCTGAGAAGTTTAGGCTTTCTCTGAGACGCAGTAGGAAACCACTGAGTATTTTTAAACAAAGAGTGACGTGGTCAGCCCCAAGTCTTAGGAATATTATTTGGGCAGCTGTGTGGAGGATGGGCTGGGGAGGGGGAAAACTGGAGGCAGGGAGGCCCATTAAGAGGGAGTGTGGGGGTGGGGGCAACTAGGTGGCACAGTGGATAGAGCACCAGCCCTGAAGTCAGGAGGACCCGAGTTCAAATCTGGCCTCAGACACTCGACATTTACTAGCTGTGTGACCCTGGGCAAATCCCTTAACCCCACTGCCTAGTCCCCTCCCCCCCCAAAAAAGAGGGAGTGGGTAGGGGTCTGAAGGAGTGTAATGGGCAAGTGAGCACTGAGAGAGGGAAAGATCTGGAGAGTCAGGAGCAACTGGCCTGAAGGACAAGGAAAGACCAAGCATGACATGAAGGTTACAAACCTCGAAAGAAACAAACATTTATTAAGTATCTACTATGTGCCAGGCACTGTGTAAGTGCTTTACAAATATTTCAAAGGATCCTCACAACAACCCTGGGGGTGGGGGGTGGGCTAGGGGCTATCATTGTCCCCGTTTGGCAATTAAGGAAACTGGGGCAAGCAGAGGTTAAGCGACTTGCCCAGAGTCACAAAGCTAGGAAGTTTCTGAGGCTGGATTTGAACTCAGGTCCTCCTGGGTCCAGGTCTAGCATTCTATCCACTGCACCAGCTGGTTGCCAGTCACCTGGGAGACAGAGAGGGTCATGGGTACCCTCCACAAAAATGGAGAAGGTTGAAAGATGGGAGATTTTTAAAGGGGAACACGATAGGAGGCAGTGTGACACAGTAGAAAACTCGGATTTGGTGTGAGGGGGCGTAGGTTAAAATTCTGACTACGTGTATAAAACTGAATGGCTGGATCTCTGGTCTACAAGGCCCTTCCTAGCTCTAAGCCTCCGACCTGTGATCTTATGTCGAGACACTGAGTCCCAGCCCCCTCATCTTCTGGCACCTACGTCCCCTGCTCTACAGCTTGCTCCTCCTATGTCTCATCCCTGTGGAGAGCTGACTCTGCATTCTCGGAAGCTAAGCTCAAGCCAGGCCTACAAGCTGGAAAGGCTTCAAGGACAAGCCTGGAGGCAGACCCTGTGCCTGTCATCTGAGGCTCCAGCTGAGGGCACTGATGGGGCCCATCACCAGAAGGACGGCCACCTGCTGGTGACTTCTGGTGCCCACAGCTCCTGATGACCAGGGGTCACAATCTGGGTCAGTGGGGAAGGACTCATGCCAAGCAAATCATCGTCACTCTTATGAGAGCTAAATGACATTTATATGTAATGCTTTAAGGTTTGCGAAGACCTTTATAAATATCATCTCCTCCTATCCTCCCAACAACCCCGGGAAGGTCAGTGTTATTATTTATTCTCATGTTACAGATGAGGAAACTGAGGCAAACAGAGTGAAGTGACTTGCCCGAGGTCACACAGCTATTAAGTGCCTGAGGCCAGATCTGAACTCAGGTCTTCCTGACTCCAGGTCCAGTGTTCTATCTACCTCACTACCTCCACGATCTTTGAAAGGGAACCCAGATCGCAGTCCATTTCTCAATCACACATCGTCCCATTCTCCCATTTATCGGGTGCCTTGTTTTCCCTGCCAGACTCTGAGCTCCTGCAGGGCAGGGCCTTGGTCCGTTCTTCCCCTCCTTCTACCTCTCCAGCCCCAGGATGGCTAAGCACCTGGCTAGGCCCACAGTGGGGATTTATTAAAGACCAGCAGCAGGACAGTGTAAGAACACAAACAAGATCTGGGTCTGAATCTCACCTCAACACTTACCAGCTGTACAACTAGAGACATCTCGCCTCTCTGAGCCTCAACGTCCCCATCTATCTAATGGGACTAATAGCACCTGTTAAGCCCAACCTCCCAGGGCTGTTGGGAGGCCTGATGGCTGTCAAGCACCCCCTACATGCCAGCTTTCACCGTGCACTGATGGGTCTCCATTTCCCCATCTCTAGAATGAGTCAAGGGAGGGAGATGAAGGAAGGCAGGACAAAGGGGCAGGAGGAGGGTGGTCTGGGGGGCCGCCCACCTGGATGTTCCTCTCGCAGTCCGTCTGGTGGTGCAGCAGGAGCTCGCTCTCCAGAAGGAAGCGCTTGCCACACTTGTCACAGATCTGCATGCGGCTGTGGGTCACGTTCATGTGCTTCTCCAGGTACCAGCGGTTGTTGAAGACCCGAGGGCATTTCTGGCAGGGGTGATGCTGTTTCTCCTCCAGCTTCACCTTGGGGCCCAGACCATCCGGGGCCGGGGCGGGCAGCTGGGCGTCCTTCCTTCGCTTCCGGCCTCGACGGGCCCCCTCTTCAACTCCCTCTTCCTCCTCCTCCCCCGACACCCCCTGCTTGGCGCTCTCCCTCGACCTCGTGGCCACGCTGCTCCTGGCAGCCTGGCCCGTCCGAGATCCCTGACAAGCAGGCCTCGGCTTCTCCTTCCTCACCCGGCCTGCCTCCTCCTCCTCCTCTTCTGTTGTCTCTGCCTCCTCTTCCTCACTATGCTCCTCCTCCTCTTCCTCCTCCTCCTCCCCACCATCACCCTCCTCCTCTTCTTCTTCCTCCTCCTCCTCCTCCTCCTCCTCTTCCTCCTCCTCCTCCTCTTCCTCTCCTCCACTGCCACCAGCACCCCCCTCCTCCTCCTCGTCCTCCTCCTCTTCCTCCTCCCCCCTGGCTCTCTCCTCTGGGCCCAGCACCATGGTGGCCTCCCCGGTGTCGGCAGCCGGCGGCTTCCCCTCGGGCCCTTTGGACACATGGAGCGTCTGGTTATTCAGGTTGACCTCGACGATGATCTGCTGCTGCTCCCCGCTATAGGCCCCTTGGCCTTCCAGGTCCTCCTCGGAGTCCTCGGCCCCTTCCAGCTTACACAGAGCCCTGGGCGCTGTCCCCTCGGTCCCCCCAGCCTCCTCCTTCTCCTCTTTGTAGAACGGCTTTGTCGACACTGGGCTCAGCCCTATGCTGGTGCTGCCCCCCAGCCCTGCACCATCCTCCACTCTCACTGAAAACGGATCCGTCCCTTCTCGGGCGTAGATCTTGGGCTGCGTGGGAGCATCGGCCTCCTGCTTGATCTCGCAATAGTACGAGGCAGGGCCAGGAGGGCAACCGCTGCCGCTGCTCCCAGGCCCCAGGGCCATGGCCACAGGGCCCGGCGGACCCAGGGAGCAGGCATCCAGCAAGTCCTGGCAGGAGGCAGCGATGTCTGCCATCTGGAGCACGGAGGCAGCGTTTAGCACGTCCTGAACGTTGGCCGCGTTGACCAGGAGTTTGGAGGTATAGATAAAGTTGAGGATTTGCTGAAGGCCTCGAGGGGCCAGGGCCTCCAAGGACAGCTCAACCCTTTGTAGCTGCTTGTTCTGAGTGAAGAGAGAGTGGAAGAATTGGCTGTAGGCAGCCAGGACCCCCTTGTGGGCTGGGAAGACGCTATGTTGCTGTACCAGCACCAGGTCCACGTCACACAGGTCTGGCTGGAAGAGACGCTGCTGGTTCAGCCTGTCCATCAAACAGGTGAAATGCAGGGCCACATCCTCCACCAGGGAATACTCGGCCGATGGGTAGTCAGTTGTCTTCTCAACTATCAACTGGTAGGAGACAGAAAGGGAGAGAGAAAAGACTGAATCATGGAACGTGCCAGCAGAGACCATCTGGTCCAACCCACCCCCTCATTCACAAGGAAAGAAACTGAGGCCCAGAATGGAAATATGGTGGCTTGCACAAGAAGTAAATAGCAACATTCTAAAACTCCAAATCCTGGGCTCTTTTCATTAGACCATCTTACCATGAAAGAAAATAGGAGAATCATCTTGGAACCTATAAATAATTCACTCTCAGTCCTCTTCCCATCCCTCCCCAACCCCTTCAGATTTACACACATTCCCATGCAGTTACCCTATGACTCAATGGTGTCAAAGCTGGGACCACAGCACCTAAGAGCTGATGCACCTTATGCATTATCTAGTCACAGGATCATGGATTCAAAATCGGGAGGAAACTTAGAGGCCATCAAATCCAATACCCTCATTTTACAGATAAAGAAACTGAGGCCCAGGTAAGAGAAGTCACTTGTCTAAAGCAACATCTGGGGCTCAAACCCCGGTTCTCTCATCCTGGTACTCTTTCCACCATTAGAGACCACTGAGCCCAGTCTACCATTTACAGAGAAGGAAACTGAAGCCCAGAGTAAGATCACACTTGCTACCAGTAAGGTACTGAGCTAGGCATTTAGTAATAAAGGCCCCCTTTCCTCTAGTGTTTTAAGGCTTACAAAGCACTTGCTTCAGTGAAATAGGAAGAGTAAATATTATCATTCCCACTTTATTCACTAGAAGACTAAGGGTCAGAGAGTCTAGCACTGAGGTCTCCCTGATTCCCAGTCCCAAAGCTTCTACTATGCTGCGTCCTCCCCCTCAGCTCTTATTGCCCTCACGTCTCCATCCCATCCCTTCCCATGATACTCATCACAGGGTTAGGGAGTGGGTGGGAGGAAACCAGCACCTTCCCCTCCAAGGATTCCCTCCATCTACTCTAACCTAATTGGTATGCTCTCATGATCTTCAGAATTAGACTGTAAGCTCCTTGAGGGCAGGGATTGGTTTTGCTTTTTCTTTGTAGCCCCAGTGCTTAGCAAAGTGCCTGCACATAGTGGGTGCTTAATCAATGTTTGTTAATTAATAGCCTAAGTTATCCCCCTCTACTGTGGAGCAATATACAGGAATGTCACTGTTGGACTTCAGAAGAACTAGGTTTGGAATCTGGCTCTGATATTTCTTAGCTGAGTGACCTTAAGCAAGCCTCTTCACTTTGCTGGGCCTCAGTTTCTGTACCTATAAAATGGGGATAACCATACCCTTATTGTCTCTTTCACAGTATTGCTGTGAGGGAAGCCCTTTGTAAACCCCAAAGTCCTAGAAAAATGGAAGCAATTATTATTTAGAAACTTTCATTCTCTTCACAGCTCATCCCCACCCATTATCTCACTTAATTCTTCACAATAAGCCCTTGGAGGTCCACAGGGCAAGACGATTCTTTCCAACTACAGAAAGAATACCCACTTTAGGAGATTTCACTTTCATAAAAATAACACTAATTATTACCATCTCTATCACTCTTTAAGGATGACAAAGCTCCTTACCCATAGCATCTCTCTGAGATAACTAGTGAATGAAACCTCCAGCTCAGGCCCTGATCACCTCACACCCAGACCATTCCAACGGCCTCCTAATTCAGCCTTCCTGCTTCTATTCCAGTCTCTGCATTCTCTAAAGCATTCCCCACATGGCTGCCAAACTGATAGTCCTAAAGCCCGAGTCTGACAATGTCAGACCCCTCCTTGAGATAATCCTGGGACTCCTTACCACCTCCAAGATAAAATTCAAAAGCCTCAACCTGGCCTTTAAAGCCCTCTCCACCAGGCCTTCCAACTCTCCCTCCAGTCTTATTTCCTCTTCCTCTCCTTCATGGTCCCTCAGGGTCAGTCTAACTCACTGGCCAATCATTTCCTGTAAAGGACATTCATCTCCCAGCTTTGGGCATTTTGCCGAGGCGGGACCCCACATCTGGCATATACCCCCTCCTTGCCTCCACCTCCCAAAACCCGCAGTCTCCTTCCAAAGCTAAGTCAGGGGTCAGCTCCTACTCTAAATCAAGCCAAAGCACCATTACATGCCTGCAGCTACAAGTACTCTCTCCCTTGGGAAATTACTTTTTAATTATTTGTATTTATTTATCTGTGCTCCTGTTATATCTCCCTGAGGTCTGGGACTGCTCAGCTTCTGTCTCTGTATTCCCAGCGCTTAGCACAATAAATACATGGCACAGAGTAGGTTTAATGAACTGAATTACTCGTGTTTCTGAATACCTTACTTCACCCTTCCTACCTCTGTAAAGTGGGGATTGGGCAAGTCATTTCTCCCAATGACTCTCTTCCCCAACTTGCAAAATGACAGTTATGATTCTTCCCTCTCAGGTAAAGTCAAGAAAGTGGAAGCTGCTTGTAAGAATGACGAAGGAAGCGTCAGATCACAATTAGCCATTGATAATTACTGTTATTCAGTCTTCATGACCCCCATTTGGGGTTTTCTTGGTAAAGATATTGGAGTGGTTTGCCATTTCCTTCTCTAGCTCACTTAAAGATGGGGAAACTGAGGAAAAGAGGGTTAAGTGATTTGCCCAGGGTCACACAGCTAATAAGTATCTGAGGCCAGATTTGAACTCACAAAGATGAGTCTCCCTGACCGCATTTGTTCAGTCATTTCAGTTGTGTCTGACTCTCATGACTCTATTTGGGATTTTCTTAGCAAAGGCACTAGAGTGGTTTGCCGTTTCCTTCTCCAGCTCATTTTACAGATGGGGAAACTGAGGCAAAGAGGGTCAAGTGACTAGCCCACGGTCACACAGCTAACAAGTGTCTGAGGCCAAATTTGAACTCAGGAAGAGGAGTCTTCCTGACTCCAGGCCCCTGGCTCTAACCACTGCTCCACCCAGCCGTCCCAGCCATTACTAATAGCTAGCATTTACATATGGCTTTAAGGCTGGCAAAGTGCTTTGCTCAGGTTTTCTCATTTGATCCCCACAACAACCCAGGGAAGTAGATGCTATTGTTATCCCCCTTTTACAGAGAAGGAAACTGAGGCACAGAGAGATTAAGTGACTTGCCCAGGGTTATGAGGCTATTATTTGAACTCAGGTCCTTCCAAGTCCAGAACACGCCTAGCTGCCACACCTGAACTGGGATGAGTTAACAGTTAGCTGTGGATAAAGTTTAAAAAGCAAAACTGGTGTTTTACTCAAACTAAAGTCTAACATTGGCAGGGACCTTAGAGATCATCACATTCAAACCCTCATTTTATAGATGAGGAAACTGGGACCTGGGAAGAGACCAGCCTGAAGTGTCTTCTTCCCCATATGAGAAGGTAACCAGGGGCCCCAGACCAGAAGAGGGAAACAACGCCCAAAGAGCCAAGCAGTTCAACATCATGGAAGGAACACAGCCCGGAACCTGGAGTCTAGAGATTCAGGCTATGGCCTCTACCAGCCTGTGTGTGACAAGTCACTTCCGAATTCTGCAGGCTCCACTTTCCTCATAAGTAAAATGGGAATGATAATACTCTCCCTTCTTGCCTCCCGGTCAGTGGGGGAGATTTTAATCGTCACCATCTCCTGCCAGGCTGGGCAAGAGGCTGCCTGGGATACCAGCCCTGAGGCCTCCTCTCCCCTCCTGGTGGGCAAGGCCCCCACAGAGCTGGGCTGAAGCAGAGACCAGGCAGGGAAGTCGATGGTTCTGTTAACATTTAATGAAAGGAAAAATCCTTCCCTCCTATGTCAAATGGCCAAGAGCTGGATGCCCAGGCGAGGAGCCAGCCCCGTGGGGCCCAAAGCGGGATCAGTCTCCACCTCCCACAGTCAGGCCTGGGGGCCCAGGACGGGGAAGGATCTGAGCCCACATGTGCACATGTGGACACGCACACAGGCTTGCACCCACACGAGCATTCCTGGGGGAAGATGTGAATGCACACATGTAGGCCTTCAAGCAGGTTTCCAGCACAAATAGAGAATCATTCAACTAGGAGTCAGGAGATATGGGTTCAAATTCCAGCTCTGCTAATTAAATTTACTACCTTTGTGACCTAAGATTCTAATTTTCTCCTTTGTAAAATGAAGAGGTCCAATTAAATGATCCCTAAGGTCCCTTTCAGCTCCAACAATTTATGAAATTATGAGTCTAAAGAGTGTGTTGCGGGTGGGGGGTTGTCTGTTTTTTGGTCTAGACTCATGACTTCTTGGGTCTGAAGAATTCCCAGTGTGGAAACTCCCTCCACCTAAGCAGATCAGCAACTCCCCAGTAATTTAACATGAAGACCCAGGTCTTCCTAACTCCAAGGCTGGTGGTGCACATAAGACATGAAAAATCTCTCAGGAGCTATCACTTGAGGCTTCCCATCCCCTCCTGGAGGGCAAGGCTTCCATGGAGCAGGGCTGAAGCAGAGACCAGGCCAGGAAGTCGAACCATCATCTTCCCCAAACACTGCTTGAGATGGTAAATGCCATCAGACCACAGGATCCCCAGTATCACCTCCCAGGAGGCAGAGGTTGGGCTAACATGTGTCACTGAAATTGGAAGGGAGTGGACGTCCAAAATACTCACACATACCTGTCCACGGAGCCTTCACTCTCCCTTTACTCCTGTCACTCAATGTCATAGTTTACCTTGAAATCACACCTCAAAGTCCACCTCCTCCAGGAAACCTTCCCAGACTAAGACAACTCAAAACCTCACCCTCTCCATCTTAAGGCACATAAAGTCGCTTGCTCAACTCTGTAATATATTTGTCTGTGCTGTATCCTGTTGGCCCCATAAGGCCTCCCTCTCCTCCAGCCTCTGGGATTCTAGCCCTGGCTCCTCCACTTATTAGCTGTTTAAGCCTGGGCAAATTCCTTCCTGGCTTTTGGGCTTTGGCTTCCCCATGGGGAATGGAGGAGGGGGAGGAAAGGGATAGATTAGACCAGAACTGGGGCCAACTAAATGATCATGAAAGTTCCTTCCAGCTCTCAGATCCCAGGACCTCCAGCTCCCTCACGAGAA